CCTAACAGTCAATTAATCAAGTAAAAAAGTACAAAAAGTTTGTTGCTAGTCCTATCACTGATATGTCCAATACATGCTACTAACTACAACATTCCAACTCAATTTTGGAAAGTTGGACCAATAACAGCATTGTTGTATATTGGATGTTGAAATTAGCAAATTGCAAGTAAATTAGTGTAGTATTAAATTCCTATGTGTTTTGCTATATTTAAATTTTCTGTAATTGTGCATTTTAGTTCAAATAAGTGTTCACTTCACTCTGTTTTTACTTCAAGGTCCATGGACTTTACTGCTTTTGAAAACACGGATCACTAGACTGATACATTTACATGGATCAAATACCATAATAACACATACCATTATAAGAGAGGTAGTTATTCATGACTCTCGAAGCTTGACAAAGACATAATACATAAGATCGCCTATGCAGCATTTCTGGTGATAAATGACAAAATTGTTTAAGAAAAAATAATAGGGAAGCAATGACATACCTGGGGTCTAAATTTGCTCGGGCTATAATATCAATCAAATTTTCTATGTTGCGCAAATCTACAGGCAGCAATTTGTAATGATCACTATGGACTTCCCCCTTTTCTGTATGAAAGCATGAGATAAGTTGGTTGTGCTAGATATTATTAGTTTATTCTAGCTTTTGCAGAGAAGAAATGTCCAAGAAATTGCACTAAGCATCTAAATTAAGAGTCCAAGCCTCATTTGTTTGCACTTTATTAATATGTTTGTTTTCAAGGTCGGAATCTTATCATTAAGTGTGTTTGTTTGCCTCATTCATGAAGAGATGACTAAACAATTTAATATTTCACTTTATCGTAATTTTTCTTCAAATTCTTTGTTCATATAGTTGTCATTCATGCTTATAATTCTCAGTCCATAATTTATATTTATATTATTTTTTCTCCCTTCGCGCCTTTTTTCATTGAAGTTCATGCTTTATTTGCATGTTGCACTTAAATCCCCAACGGACCTCAGAGATTTTTTTTCGCTTTTTGCTTTTCATAACACTAATCGATTAAATACTTGATGTATCCATCTTACATTCCAATACGGGGTACCTGTTAGGGAAATGCATCAAATGTTTGCCATGTAAATGAAATGCAGGGGTCACCAAGTTGAATGCAAAAGAGGAGAGCATTCACAACTTTGCAAGACGAACAGGTCCATTACCTAAGGATATTGATGCTGTTTCACCAACTTTATCCCTTAACTGACTGTAGGTTTCAATAAGAGCTGCCTTCTTACTTGTTACCTATAAGACAAATATATAGAGAGCTGAGCTCTTTAGTTGAGCCAATAATTTGCCCAAAAAGCAAATGATGTTTTAGCCACATAAAAATATAAAACAGACCTCATTTGTGATATACAATAATAACAAAATCGGGGGACTTAAAATTTGAAAATCTCACCTCAATGAAATCCAGTTCCACATAAAGATGAGGAGCTTTTCCTTCGTCCTGACAAAGACAAATCCATTATTACTTCTTTCTGGGGAAATGAACCAGTGAGCATCCAGCGTATATTAATTATATTGGAGAACTACATTTAGGGAGCAGTATCAGATAAATCTTAATACAAAGCAATACTCCGCATTCATAACGTGTCAACCAAGTTCAACAAAACTTGCAAATAGCAAAACCAAACACTCAAATTTCTATGAATAGTAACCCACCTGAGCATCACTAATGAATTGCTCTTAACTTCCATTTTCTCTTGACAACTTTATTTAAGGGTCCCTAGACAGGGAAAAATATTGATACATATGAATAGACACTGTAAACAAGAGCACTGTAAAGCTCCAGAACTGCAATTAGATGCATACTGTCAGCTTGGCTTAGTCCCAACTCCCAAACTAGCTGGGGTCGGGCCATGAGGTTGCTTACAAAAAGAAAAACTTATAAAAAAATACAAAAGGCAACTTAGAATAGCTTGTGTAAAATTTTCAATTATTGTGGAAGATATAAGAACAATCCGCAAAGAAAACTGAAGCACCTGCAACTGAAAAAACAGTGTGTCGAAGCCAGCTCCAAGTGACAGTATCTGCTTCCTGATATTTCCATTTCCATCAGCACTCGGCTCACAATCAAGAAATTGATAAAGCATCTTTCGAAGAGCAGCCCAGCGGGCAAAATAACCTAACAATTAATTAAGTAGCATATCAACAAAAACAACTCCGACTAATAAACACTAAGCACATCACCACCATAATTAAAAAGCCAAAACAGAGTTACTATACCACGGTTAATAATCGGAGCTCGCCTCAGCTGCTTTTTAACAAACAGATGAACATAATCATCTTTCATATATCCTTTTTTCACACACGACCTTCAAAATCACACAAAATATTCACAAAATTAGATTCAGTTTTCATCCGGCGGAAATTGTATATTCACAGCTGTACTCCGAAATTTACGTTATCTACAGTCACAACTTAATGTATCTCCAAATTATGTCTAGAAAATTAACAAAGGGGAATTGAATAGTTGAAGCAAAGGGCGTACATACAGTTTGCTGGCGGAAGCGTCGTCGTTGGTGGCTTGAACGGCGGCTCTGTTGCTGCGTGAATCGGTAACCGGTTTCGCCATCCTCTTGGCCAAGTTTTGATACAGAGCTTTGAAAATGGGGAGCAGAATTTGGGCGGAGGATTTGATCCTTCTACTTACTCGTTATTACTTTTTCATTCACAATAGATTATGTTATGACCATTTTAGTCCTCACTTTTTCTTTTTCAATGTTATTTCACAAATGCGTTCAGATTATGATATAGTAGTAAAATATTTTATTTTTAATAAAAAAATTACATTTAAATTTTTTTTAATTCAAGTAACAATATAGCTATCGAATTCTAAATGTAAACTAGAAAAAGAAAAAGCATAGGTTTAATTAGCAACAATTAAAATGACCTTCGTAGTATTATTTTATAATTTTTATTTTGTTTACATGCTTTGAATAGGCTTAAAAGTCAAAATGTCAACTATTTTTAGATTGTTTAACTCTTGATATAAAGCTAAATGATTTAGAATGTCAATTTTTAACCTTTTTTTTACAAAAAAAGACATTAAATGTTAGTTATTTTATTCTAAGCTATTAATATTTTTAGGTCTAGTTAACATACACTAATTGATTAATAAATTCGTACTTTTAGGATATGAAAGTGTTGTCAAAATGTACAATTATGAAATTGAAAAAAATTAGGTCGAATTCTTGAATAATAAAAATTTTAAAAAATATATATTTATGTTGAAAAGAATAAAATAATGTCTCAAATATTATTTTTTAAAAATTTTATCCATGAATGAATTTTCTTGTTACTTGGAGTGGACGAAATCAATAGATCTTAATTCTTCTATTGTTTAAATGTTCTTTCCAATTATAACTAGTATGATATAACTATTGATTAAAACAATACAAATTTTCATGATGACTAATATGATATAACTATTAATTAAAATAACACAAATTTTCAATAAAAAAATTTTCGATATTAAAACATTATTTATTTGACTATTTTATCTATATTTAAAGTAATAATTTGTGCTTAATTAGTTAATAGCAAGTTGACTATAATTTACATTTACAGATTTATTATAAAATAATACTCGCTTCAAAATTCCTTTCACATAAAAAAATCCCTATTTTGGGATCGACCCCTACACGGAAGCAATAGCGAAGTCAATTCGGGTAGGCGCACGATCCTTATATCATAACAAACGTTTTATAGGCTCCCGAACCCTCGATTCGGTTGTTTTCCAAGAATGTTGAGCCACATATGTAAGCCATGTATCTGGGAGGAACAACAATAAAAGAAAGGTTTCAGTTTTTGTCTTGCAACTATTTTCAAAATATATATATAACCCAAAAGAATATTCATTCATTTCTTTCTTCTCCGTCGACCACGACGATTGAAACGACGCGAAAAATCTAGACCCCGTAAAGGAGAAGGGTCGGGGGGGGGGATTTGGGAAAGTCGGGTCGGCCGGGTGTCTTTATTCAAGCAATGGTACAGAAGTAGAACGAAATAGAGTGAGAGGTCGGGGGCATGGAAAAGAGTCAAATCGATCAGGCTCGACGATCGGGAGAAGCAAAACGAAATCAGGATTTGAACGAAAAAAAAGCAAGGTTGTGTATACCATGACCGATCACCATCGACAAAAGAAGAATATTTCTAAATCACTTCGTGTCAGCGGGACCTTCAAGCATCCGAAATATGCCACGATTGAAAATGACATAACATACATGATTAAAAACATAAAATTAAATCATAAAAGTTTGAGGAAAGATGATACAAGTTATTCATTATTATCAAGGTGTCAAGTGAAAAACAATAATATCTATGATCGAGAAAGATTGAAAGAAGTGATTGTCTCACATTTGCTAAGAGCTCTTTGATGAATTTTTCGTAAAATGCAACCCCTTACTTGTTAAGTAACTCTCTATCTAATTGTATAAATACAAAATACTATTTTATTGATAAGTTATCATATAATAATGGTATATTCAAATTTAAATACATTGACATGAAATCAACCTAAAGCATACGACAAAGCCATTAAGATTAATAGTATGTCAATGTCAAAAATCTTTCTTCAGTATACATGATTTGATTAACATGACATTCACTCTACGTTATCATATTGAATATATTATTATTGAAATTTATTAAAATTTAATATACATATAAAATAATTAGTATATATTTCTTATAATGATCTTATTTTCTTTTTTGTATATTTTAAAAAGAATGATATTTTTCCTTTTCTGGCAACATTTTAACGATATGACATGTTTAAGAATATAAAATTAAAAAGTATTTTGATATACTTGACATAACTTTAATTTAGTTACATAAAATTAAAATATATTATTCCTTTTTTGAAATTTTATTTTAAATTATTATTATTTTTTTAAACGGAGGGAGTAATTATTATTGTAAAATATTGAAAGAAGCTTAAAAGTAAATCAAAAGTATAAAAGGACCCGCGATGGGCTCAAAGCATCATACCAAATCAGACAAGCGCCCTTCTTCTCCGTGGGACTCCAAAATTTTACAGTTAAAAAAGCCCTCTTCTCTATTTGTTTTTGTGATAAATCTTTGAATCGGAAATCAGAAACCCTAATAATTTTCTTTGCTTTTGTCTATAAATGTTATTGAACCCCTGATTACTTGTGATTATTAATTATTCATAGAGAGATGGATATCGAACAAAAGCAAGCGGAGCACATCGACTTCTTTGTGAAACAAGCATCAGCACTCAAGGGTTCTGCCCTTACCACTGTTATTGTTGAAGCCACTTCGCATCCATCACTCTTTGCTTTTTCAGAGATTCTTTCTGTTCCCAGTGTTCTCGAGGTTTCCATTCATTCATATTACTATTTCTACACTTGTTCTGATTTTGTTTGAAGTTTTTTTTTTTTTATGATAATTGGGTTAGTAGGTGTTGCGTTAATTTGTTTTTTTGTAATTTTGTGTGTTTTTTCCTATACTGGGTTTCTAGGTATTTACCCTGAACATTGTGTCGTGGTTATGTACTTATGCTATTGATTGGGCAATATCTGGAATATGATATCATTCTGGGTATCTGTTTGTTGAGTCTTTCGAAAACAGCCTCTCTACCTTCTCAAAGGTAGGGATAAGGTCTGCGCGTACACTCTACCCTACCTGGACATCAAACACCACTTGTGAGATTACATTTGGTTTGTTGTTTTTGTTGTTGATGGAATTTCCTGATAATTTGATTAGTGGGTTTTCCTCTCATATTGGAAGTGCCTGCGTTAGGCGTAGTAATTGGTCTTGTGGTACGAGGAAAAATGTTGGGGATGTCTTAAGAAAGGAAAGCTTTGAGTAAACTGGGATGGATTAATGAAAACAATATTTTGCCGATGAGCTACAAACTCTTGCTCATTTATATGGCTGTATGTTAAATATTGAATAGTCTATGTAGATGTTTTAGATCATGGATAAATAGATGAAAAGTTAATATTTTATCTTATGATCAAGTACCAGATGATTTTCAAAACACAAAAGGAATGAATATCAGGAAACACAACTAAAATGGATCAAGATACTACAATTTGATTGATTTTAAAAGAGGTAATAGAAGCGTAGGGGATACAGTATCATTAATGAGGAAATAACTTGGGTTCATCCTATCAATTCAATCAACTTCAGAGCTCAAAACCCTAAGCATATCGAAATGGGCTTAGTTGCACGGACTCTTCACTTTGATGCCGCATCCGTGTCGGATTCACCAAAATACACTACTTTTGGCGAATCCGACATGCACTATTGACAGTTTGGAAGAGTCCGAGCTACATAGGAAATGGGTTTTATACTCGGTTTTGATTCTCTTTAGAGTTCCTTTATGACAATTAGGTAGACATCTGGGAATAAAGGGCAAAAGAAGTGCTTTTGATCAGTCAGGTTAGACCATATCTGAAGTGGGCACTTTATTGTGGTATTTCTTGACTATAAATTGCACCTGTGATTCAACGTTGGTTGTTGAATCATAAGATTCAGGTTAGATTTATGCATCACAGACTTAGATTATAGTTGATTCTGCTGGAACATAAATCTAATTGTGAGATTTGAATCTCAAACTGTAAGTTTTTGAAAAATATGGGCATAGAAAACATTTGTTTCAATGCAGAGGATTATTGGGAGCACCTGAAAATTGTACCTTGATATACTTTTTGCAAGTTGTGTAGTTAACACCATATTGCCATGTTGCTGTATATATACTTTGGGATCCCTTTCATATTTGCGGTTAATTGTTTTTTTTTGTTGGACCTATATGCAGCTTGGAGGAACTGAGAATTCAGTATACCTTGATTTGCTTCGTTTGTTTGCTCATGGAACATGGAGTGACTACAAAAGTAAGCGTACATTTTTTTTTATATCTGATTATTTTAGAAACATTTTTTTTGTTGGGTAGGCTGGGTAGCTGATTGGATCCGCTTTTCCAGGTTGGAGATTTCAACAATGTTCTTTTTATTGCCATTATGTCAATTTATCTGCAATACTTCATTTACCATTCTTTCATATTAAATGCCTTAAATTTTATAATATTGTGAACTTGTACCCTATCATTTCGAGGTATTTCTTTGAGATAGAATATGCTTTTGGTCATATGTATAAGAACTTGAAGATTCTTCTAATTGTTAATAGAGCGTTAGTGCAAATGAGGGTATCAATATTAAGTTATTAACTTCTCAAGTTTTGTTTCTCCGTAAATGAGTTCATTGTTGGCTGGGAAGTTAATAAGGACATGGTTTAGCCTCAGTTGTTCGGACTTTATGCGGTATAGTTCTTCTTGAACTGGTTTGATTCTAAATTTTCTTACAAAATCAATCAAATTATTTGGTTGATGTGGATTTCTTGATCGTAGCAAGACTGGAATAGAACTTTTGTTCCACATAGGGGCCATAGTATCAAGTAATAGTAGCGTATAGAATTACATTCTTCAAAACCATTTTCTCATCTATTTTGCTTATTAATTTATTTCTTTATTTCTTATTGGCTCAGGTATATAAGACATAACACTACAAATATGATATAATTTTTATTCCTTCTCAGTAATCACTTTTATTCACAATTGCCTTTTTATAAAGTAATATCACATTCCAAGTTTAAGTTATGATAATCTTTTTGCTAGTAAGAATTTGGTTATTTCAACACCTTGATACGATTGATATTTTGAGTAGAAGTGCTAATGAAAAAAAGTCTTCTTTTTTTCTTCTCTTAACTTAAGAATTAAGTAAAATCAATGAAATTGAACTGCATATGGTAGAAAACCATGTGAATCATCAATACAATATTTGATTCACACGGTCCGCATGCTGTTTCATACAATGCGTCACCCGCTCTTGTATTTGTAATAACTTGTCATGAATTCAATTAAATGTTGATGGAAAAGAACCATAACTATGTAACCCTATTCCTAACAGATTGACCCAAAAATAGCATATCCAAATTATAAGAAAACCTATCGACGCTACAATTGCAGAATTTAGACCCCGCAAATTTCTATTTGTTCGATGAAATATCAAATATTATTTATATCTTTGATATATTATTTCTATAAAATAAATTATTTTGCTTAAACGAGCTTTCTATAATATTTAATTTAAATTCATTATGTTAAAAAGATGAATTATGCACATTTGGATATTGAAAACAAACAATCTTAATTATAATGTGTTCAATTAGTTTTAGAGACAATATCTTAATATTCAAAAATGTACTCGGATTTAGACGTGTTAATAATTCATATTCAATTAGACATCTTAATTTAATCTTAACTGAACAAAGGAGGCCTTAACTGCCTTTTCTGCTGCTGTGAACTTCTTACTATCATGGGTGAGTTGCTTTGTAACATCCTTAAGTTTGCTAGTGCTCACTGTCACTTACCACTTACCTTTTTGGAAAAAGATTTAGTGTTGGTGTTAAAACTTCCACTAGAAAGAGGGACTGTTTATTTCTCTTACACATGTACTCTTTCTCAGGCAAAAACAGAGACAGTTGCAGGTTTGATTTCCTTTTTGTTTTTCCTAGTACCAAAGTGATGAAATTTCATTGACAATAATTGCTTAAAATACAGATTAGGGAAAATATCTTACTCTAATTGACCATATCTATGACTAAATATAGTTGTTTTATAAAGGAAGATGACGTACTCCTGAGTTCTATATGTAGCATTTCAAATTTGTCAATTTTAGCATGTGCGTTTTATTCTAGGTATTGCTGGCTGTCTTCCTCAGTTGGCGTCTGCCCAAGCTCTCAAGTTGAAGCAACTTACTGTGCTTACACTAGCTGATACAAGCAAGGTACACTACATATAAGTGGAATAAGCCTTTTGACATTGTAATTTATCTTATGGCAAAAGTGAGCAATTGATGCATCCTTAGTAACTTTGTCCCTTCAGCTAGTTAATGCCAAAAATGTAAGAGGCTTGGCTGAGCTTTGTGGTGCTTGTTTGTTGGAATTCTTGAATCTGGTCTGGGTAATGGATACAATCTATTAATTGGTACATGTAATTTATTGTCATTGGATCAGATCAGTACTATTAAAGTTGTTTGCTTAGCCTCCCTTACTTCTGAATGTGTTCAGTGTTGTTTCCTTCATTTTGTTGTGGAACATGCGAGTGTAGTCATCCCACTATGATAAAGTATTCCATTTGGTGATAACTCTAATAATGCTATTCAAGTAAATACTGGATACCTCACTTGTGGGATTACTTTGGGTATGCTGTTTTAAGTAAGTACCGGATACTTTGTTTTATGCTTACCTTGTTCAGTGTCAACAACTCCGTCTATCGTGCTATCTGTGAGATGTTTTCCGGTGATTTGCATGATTATCATATCTCTCAAGTTCATTTCTCATAATGGAAAAGAACAAAATATATTTATGTTTTTCAGTTTTTAACATTCTTTTGTGTTTCTTCATGACAACCCTTTTCATATATCAACAACCTTTGATAATGATGTTGATATTCACTTCTTTCACTGATGTCCTTTGTTATTAGAGTCACTGCCAGTAATGACTCCTTTCCTCTTTCCAGGAGCTTCCATATGATCAACTTATGCAGGAGTTGGATGTCACAAATGTGCGTGAACTTGAAGATTTTCTCATAAATGAGTGCATGTATGTGGTGAGTATTAGCTCTCACTCCTTGTATCATTGTGTGATGAATAGAGATACTTTGTACTTTCCAATATTGGAAGTATGTCGGACTTAAGTTTATTGTAGGAATTTGCTTCTATTGATGTTCTTATGATAGTTTATTTAGCCTTCTGGATAGAAATTCAACTTATTTTTTAAATTGGGTTCTGGTGCCTCATAGGTTATTGGTGGCTTACTTTGCCTTTTCCTTCCCTTCCTTTATTCACTTTCTCTTTGGGTTGGGGGTTGGGATAATAACTGATTTGATGTCTCAATCTGCTATTAAAAGAATTAATAATTCCCCATTTTTATGCATCCGTTGACAGGGCATAGTTAGAGGAAAGCTGGATCAGTTGAAAAGATGCTTTGAGGTTGGTATGGTGTGTTTGCTGTTTCGCCAACTCTTGGTTGCAGCGTGCTGACATGGGGTAATTAACTGTCTCCGCACAATTATAGGTACAATTTGCTGCAGGGAGAGATCTCAGACCCGGTCAATTGGGGAATATGCTACAGACATTAACTGACTGGTATATCTATGTTCTTGTTTAGATGACTCTGATAGCCATATCATTATATCATGCCCTATTATCTCTGTCTGAGTATTATTTAGTTGTTTCTTAGTTGGGCTTGGGGTTGTGTATTGACTTTACGATAGGATCTTTCTATTGATATTCTGTTGTCCTATTTATATGACAAACATCTTCTGTTCTTGAAGAGTTGTTGAGTTCTCTTTTCTTCCCTTTCGTGTCTTGATCTCGTTACCTTCATAATGACTTACTGAGCTGTAGTTCGTATGCCAGTTTCTAAGATTTTTTTTATATCCGCCTTAAACAAAACAGCTAGTTGAGGTTATAGAAGTGATATGAGTTGCATAATCTGCTTATGGGGTCTGACCAATTTCTTCAGTAATGTATAACGTTGGATTAGACCATGGTGAAGAGCAGCTCTTATGATTGTGATGTTAATACCTTTGAGCTGAGGCTGCCGACACAAAGATGACTGAATTGGATATTGATCGTAAGCTGAAAAATAAGGACTTCGCTTCTGGTGGAAACATATCTTTGTAATTTCAATTTGAATTCTCACTTACCAAAAAGTTTCAAGTGAAGTCTTTAAAAATTTTCAAAGCAGGACACATAAAGAACAGGATGCTCTGCCTTAAAAAAAAATCAACACTGGGTTTACCCATCACAACTACCAAAAAAAGAAGCAATAAACTCTTAAAACTAGATCGGATAGCGAATCAAAAGCTATGGAATTTTTAGTGGACGGACTGAGAAAATAGTTATTATTGAAAAAGTTGAGCTCAGTCACCTTATCTTTTTCATTTTTTTAATCCTAAAGGGGAAGTACCTTTCCTTTTGGAGGTAGGAAAATCAATGATCGGATAGCGAACCAAAAAAGCTATGGAACTTGGACGTGGGTCTTTTGAATCTTCATTTTTTTTTCTTTTTAAGAAAATCAAGTGCAGCCATTTCAGTTTGGTTGTAAGATCTGCCATTGTTGTTGGCCTACAATATTGATGATCAGATGGCATATTATTCTGATTTAGTTGCTGTTATTTGAAGTTGAGCACTACTGGCTAGAAACAATAAAATCTGTTAGGAGTAAGGGAAAGGAGATGTAGGTTTTGGTGTTCCCGGTGAGGCGCTTATAGAGTAAGTTAGTGGGTGGTTTTCTGTTCATATGGATAGGCAACGAGGGGCCTGGTAAGTCATGAGGGTCCATTGGAGGCTGTATTTAGTGTTGAAGTAGGTTTGATTAAGGAAGATGGGCGGAAAAACATGAAGTTAGGTTTGAAGAATGAGATTTAAAGAAAGAGTAAGTTTTCCTTTTAGTGCCATTGGTTGAAATGATGAAGGGAAGACAGGCAACATTGCGCATGCTGGCATGTGGCACAAGCTCAATGATGGATGTACCAAAGGGGAGGAGTAAAACATTGAGGCCTGCTGTCAAGATCTGAAACCTTGGGGGTTCTGGGAATTCTGCTTCTTGCTTGTTAAAGCTGAGAAGTGGAAAGTGAACAATTTGTCAAGTAAAGAGCCATCAGGCAACAGTAACAAATGCTTGTGTTTGTTGAAAAGGTCTAAAGAAAGCAGGATAGAATGAGGTTCTTGGGTAGTGGTGTTGCATTCATGGTTCTTTTATTTGAGCGCACTTTGAGATATTTAACTAGTTATTATTTGGTTGTATTATTTTGCATCTCCTCTTTGGATTTTTTTCTCTAAGTAAGTTGTGTTCATGTAGAGTTCTATTTTCTGATAAATTTATCGTATTTACCTGCCAAAGAGATTGTTGAGTGTGGATTGATGTTCGGATGTGTCCTTGTTGAGTCCTTGTGTCCATTGGATGATTTATTAGTCAATAAATTGGTTAAGTATGAAATTGTGTCGGGCATGTGTCGAAGTCATGTTCGGCGTGAAGTTGTGCTGAGACTGTTCACACAAACTTGCCTAGATGACGCATCTATGTTCACTAGTTTTGGAATATTGACTAGATTTAACCCATTATTAGTTGCCATTATATAGCACATCAGCATGTTATTCCTTGTCTATTCTGGTTTTAAGGAATTAAGGTTAGTATCCCGGGAGCCAATCCCGAGACCGATAAATGATTCAATCTAGGATCCCAATTTTGAGAATGTCATTATGCGAATGTTATTGAGATGCATGATTTCGTTTGAGCCACCTACACTTCCCCAAGTCGGTAGAAAATCTCACCATGCTGTGGGCTCCTAGGTCCACAGGATGGAAGAACTTATCGGAACACCTCTGTGGTATTTGCTAATTGATGCTGACTCAGAGGTCAGTGAAAAGGCTGCTTACTTGCCTTCTAGTTGTATGTTTTTATGAAGCTTCATTTAAGTTCTCTCTGGTATGGCATAAAAATCATCTATTTTTAGTGAACTTATCTACCTTGTTAAAAAATGAAAGAGAAATCATGTCAAGATGATCATTCATTTTGTTTGAGCTAATAATTGTCTTCCAGCCTTATTGTTGCCATTTTTACAACTGTTGATTATCCTAATCTATTTTTCAATTAGTAGTTCTACTTATTCTCTTATTGCAACTATGTGAACAACACAACTTTGGAAATGTAAATTTGGAACTTTTGTGGTGGAAATTATATGATAATTGTTTTTACTGAGTACAATCCCACACAACTTTCTATGCCATAAATCAAATGTAAATTGAATCTGCAGACTTGTGGTATAATGCCGAAGTTAGGTGAGGGATAAGATTAAAAGAGTTGGACGTTTTTGTGTATGCTGTGGTGTTACTCTGGTGTATGTGTTCCGTCTTACAATGAGAGGTCCTGGTGAAGTGTGAACTATGAATGTTCTGCATGCTATAACTATAAGATCTAACTGTAATTGTCAACCTACTCTCAAATTTATTTAATTTTTTGATAAAAAACAGGTTGACTACTTCAGACAATCTTCTTGTGTCAATTCAAGAGAAAATCAAATGGGCAGATACAATGAGTGAATCGGACAGGAAGCACCGGAAGGAAGTTGAAGAAAGGGTTGATGAGGTGAAGAAGTCACTCTCTTTGAAGGTGAGTACAGTATAGATTTTCAAGAGATGAGTTCTGTGTTGATTCTAAAAAGTAAAAACTATGGGCATAACTTGACAGTGCACCAGGCCATATTGAATGGCGAGCATGTCTTTCAGCTGATGGACTTGGTCTACCTGGGTTGTGAGATTCCTTTTTTGGGGTAGAATATCTTCGTAGTTTGCCCATTTGAGTCCTAATGACCCTCAGTTCGTGTTTAAGCTTTTTGTTATGTTGAAGACTCACTTTATATTTAAGTACTGGGATATTTTTGTCGATCTGTCTTACTTACTCTGTGGCAGAAGCTACAAACTGTAAGCAGGCCGACGTTGACTTCAGAGGGCATGAGGAGATCTACTCTGAATCTGGTGGAGTGATGGATTATGAGGAAGACCGAGGCCGACCGAAGAGGTAGTAGTAGTCTTATATATCCCGGGATTAAATTTTCCAGTCATTTAGCAGCTAGTCATGGTCTGTATATTGACCTATGAAATATATCACATTAAAAATCTGATAAGGGAAGAAAGATCCTATGATGCACAAGTGTGTGCTGTAGGGACTGCAGGGTCACTTCAATCCATTGCAAGAATGCTTCAAACCAAAAATATGAATTGGCGGAGACATGAAACCGCATCTATCCTTCCATGCCAGTTGAATGCTAGAAACCGTAGAAGTCTTTACTCTCTAATATCTTTACACTCCCGTGAATGTATTTTTACTCTTATTGGTAACTTGGACTGAGATTAAATTCTTTACACGGTTAGTGTGTATTTATATATTGTATAGATAGTCTCTCTCATCTGCTGATTTTTAACTTTGTAAAATTTGCAGGAGACGACACCCTATTGGTTAAGGTGATGGAGTTGGGGGCGATGTTAGGAAGAATTAGAGTGGCTGCTGGCCAGTTTTTTTTTTTACCATAGATGCTTTCTGCTTTAGCAGACAGTTTCAACCCTTCTAAAAATTTGTCATGCTGTGAATGGAACTTGTAGACTCGAAGTACCCCATAGAGCCATATTTTGCACTTAACTCCATTATTTCCATCTTGTTTGCCTTTTTTGAGTTGGAAAGATTTTAATATGATGACGACGACGATGATGATGCGGCTGAAACTTGTGGAGCTGATTCATTTTACATTCATACAAGTCTATATGCTTTCATGATTTTTTTCCCCCAGGTTTTTGTTTTGAGTGATTGCTTTAAGGTACAGGTAATTTTCCATCTTCATAAGATAAAATTCATCATATGAGGTGATGAATTTTTCTGCTGAGATTGTGGGTAGTTAATTTACAATTAAATTGGTTATATTCTATAGTATATAATAAATATAATTAGGATTGCTTCTAGACTCAAAAAAGAAAAAGAAGAAAACCTTGGATAATTTCATCACGTTATATAATTATCTAGAATTTAGAATGCGCAATCAGAGAATTATACCTTATATTTCTAGAAGCTCCTCTAAATATGTCTGATATAAAGTTATTATTACCTTCCTGGAATATCAAGTTATGAATTTCAATGTCATTTTACGAAGATTTTTACCTTTTTAGCGTTGTGGATCTAAATATTCTGTACAGCTTTGGTTCGAATTTCTTTTTTTCGTAAAAAAAAATAACTATGATAAAAGTTTGTTTATTTATTAATAATATACTTTTCTTGGACTATGATGTCATATGTACGGACTAGGAAAATGGTGTTCCAAAATATTCCTTCTCATCTTGACTTTGATTATTTTTAACAACTCTCATTTACACGTTATTGGTAAATTATAAAATATTCCTATATTGTTGTTATATAGTTTTTGCTAATTTTAGTTGCAAAATTAGGATTTTTTTATTCTAACCTCGCTCGCTAATTTTAAATTTATCTTACTCTTTCTCCATATCTTCACATATTGGTGGATATAAATTCAAGAGAAAGAAATGCTACAATTAAGTTGCTTCAACAAGATTGTTGTTGGTATTAAAAATATCATTAGTTTCTCGATTCATTTTGGGGTCTAAAATAGTTTTTGAACTACTCATATATTTACTGGATTTAGACTTTCATAATTTTCTTTTCGTTAATTTTATTTTGAATTATTCAAGTTAAATTCTTATCTTAAAAAAAAAAGGGGGAGGGGGGGGAGGTCAAACATGTCCCTAAACTATTCGAAAAGGTCTAGATATACTCTCTGTTTAAAGTTTGGCTCACTCATGCCCTCGTTGTTCAAATTTTCACCTAGATATGCCCTTGTGGACGTTAGTTGGTATGCTGGGCATATTCAGCTTATTTTTTATTTCTTTAAATGCCACATGGAATTGCAATGTCATTTTGACCTTACCACCAGCATACCAGCTAACGTCCACAAGGGCATATCTGAGCCAAAATTTGAACGGCGAGGACATGAGTGAGCCAAACTTTAAACGAAGTATATCTAAATCTTTTCGAATAATTTAGGGGCATATTTGACCCTTTTCCCCAAAAAAAAAGTATGTCTCCGATTAAAACAATAGGGACTAAAATTGAAATTAACACATAAAGTCAGGGACCAAATACGTTCTGTTTCTAGTTAAAACTAATGTTTTATAAATTATAGTATTTAGTTTGCGTTCAGATCATCACATGTTATAATTTGTAATCTTTTAATTTTTTAAAATTGACTTGTTCTATATTTATAAGTATATAAGACATACGTACTTGTATATTCGTTGGGATTATAGATTACAATTTATAAATACCACTAAAAAAAGTTGGCCATATCGAACATTTTTTTTTAAAAAAAGAAGGAATTAATAATATAAGCAACAGCTAACCAGAAAATAAAGTAATATTTCCTATCAAATGAGTAGATGTTTCATTTTCTTTTTTATAATCGTGATATCTGAATAAATTTACACAAATTTCAATTAAATTTACAAAATATTTATTATCTTTCACCTACAATATACATATTACATATCTGATACCTCATGATATTCAACTTGCTTCGTGGAAACTAAATTATACCTCGAACAAAAAAGTGTTGGTAATTTAATAGTACCTTATTGGACAAAACAAAATGATACCTCAGTGTCCATACCAAGAATAATACATAATTAAATCAACTTTTATATTATATATATAATATAAAGAGAAGAATAAAAAAAAGTTATTAAAATATAAAGACATGTTAAAAATAACTACTTTGATTGATGGGCTCGTTGCTTCCACGAAATTCTTATAAATAACACTCTTGATAATTTTAAAAAAGAAAATAAAAACATGTGTTGGATCACATAAATATTATTTTTAAATAAATAGTGGACAATATGGTTCCCTATATAATGAAAAAAAATTAATTTAAACTTCATCATTCATTCACACTCATCAGCTCAATACTTCTTTCAATTTTAACAAAATTTTCCTTAAAAATTCAAAAAATGTACCAACAAAAATCAACAACCATCTCAGATTCTGATCTTTCCGTACTTGAAAACATTAAATTCCATCTTGTTAATGATTCCGATTTTTCTCAAATCCTTTCGATGTTCGATCCGATCAATATTAGTCATGCAGATATTATTAATAGTCCGAATTCGAGTTACGGTAGCTCTACATCAGCAGCAGAGATTAGTTGGGGAGATATGATAACTAATATTGATAGTCCGTGGCAATGTATCGATAAATTGGAGCACGAAGAGGCACCAAAAGAGGAGCCTTTAGTGGCACGTGGTGTGCACGCGCCTGGTGATTGGAACCGGTATAGAGGCGTCAGGCGGCGGCCGTGGGGTAAGTTCGCGGCGGAGATAAGAGACCCCGATAGGAAAGGTGCTAGGCTTTGGCTAGGGACTTACGGGACACCTGAAGATGCAGCATTGGCTTATGACCAAGCCGCTTATAAGATTCGTGGCTCTAAGGCTCGATTGAATTTTCCTCATTTAATCGGCTCGGACATATCTGAGCCAGTTAGAGTGGCTCCGCGTAAGCGTTGCCACTCGTCACAGTCATCATTGGTAGAATATACCTCTTCAAAGAAGAGAAAATTATAAATTAGCTAAAAATTAAATTAGAGGCAAAAATTGTATTAGTACTAATTGTCTTGCATTTGTTAAATATGGTGCCTACGCGTGTATTCTCATCAATAATATTATATTCAGTAAAAATTTATAAGTGAAGTTTGAAAAGGATAGAATATAGATAAACCTAATCATCATATCTAGTAAATGTAAAAATATTATTTTCAAAAAATTCTCAATTTAAGTGCAATAAATAAACTAGAATTTAAATGTGATGAATGTATAAAAAAAAAATCACACACCATACATACTCGTGGAACTTGTTTGATTTATAAAATCAACAAGGACTTTAATTTCTTTAATTTGTAAAATAAAATCATTAGAATATAGTTAATTAGACACATATTTGGGCCATCGCTCTGTATGGATAACATTATCAAATTTCTTAATACACGAAGATATTTTTAGATACACTTCAATTTTTTCAAGATTAAATTTAATTTGTAGAAAGCCTGTAATGACTTTCTTATATAAAAAAATTATTTTGACATAAATCTCTAATCTTTGTTATATTGATCACATTTTTTTTCTCCCTCTTTGCATTTGGTGGGTTGTTCTAATATGTAAATTTAGAAGAATTAGGTGTCAAAAGGATTAACTCATGTAATTTTTTTTTCCTTTCTCAGAATAAGTAAAATATATATACATATGTATGTATATATTTAGGAATCAAAATGCTTTTTTGAATAGGTCAGAGAATCAAAGTAAATGCTTTTCAGAATTGTTGAAGAATCACGTGAAAATGTTTATTTTATGTTCTAGACACAATTTAGAGAATATAAAATTTTGTTTTTGATATTACAATTGTCCCAATTCCTTCGATGAGCAACTTTCACACATAGTAAATACGAAAATTATATTTATATATTATAGTTAGAGTTTGTATAATTACGCTCCCTCAAAAAACAAAAATATGTATATTTTGTTATACATATACAAAAAACAGTTGTATGTAAACTGTTTCTGTTTCGATATACATATACAAAAGAAAACAATTGTATATAAACTGTTTCTATTACGATATACATATACAAAAGATCAATTGTGTAAACTGTGTTTATATAAAATGAGAAAGACAGAAAGACAAAAGAAAACAAGGTAGGGGAATATTTGTATTACATAATAATAAGTGTATAGGATAAAGATATATATATTTGCATGTGTATATACAATCGTTTCTCGCTTTATACAAATAAAAACAAAATTTATACATTTCTTTTCTGTTTATATAAGCGAGAGAGGCGAGTGAGATCTGGGAGAAGGGAGAGAGGGAAACGAAAATATATATATGTACAATTTTCTCCCATTTTATACAAATACAAACACATTTTTACACATTTGTCTTATATAAAAAGCGAGAGAGACGAGGGAGAGAACGAGAATGACATGTGAGTTTCACCAAGAGAGAGGTGAAACAACAACAGTGTGATATGGAGTACAATTAAATCAAAGGGAGAACTCATCAATGGCCACCCAAACTTGACATGAACTTTCATTTAGACACTTTAATTATACTTTGTTCATTTTAGACAATTCATGTCATGCACAATTGTATCATTTTGACACTTTTTCGACAATCTGCTAAATTTGTTAGGTATGTGTAACACACTCACTGATGTTGTGTCAAAATAACGAATTAAACAAAGACATGTGGCATATATAGAAAAATTAATTACTAAATGATGAATTTTGAGGAGGAAAAAAACTACCAATGGCTCATTGACATGCGAGATTTCGTTAACCAAATAATTAAAAAAAATAACCAGTTTTTATAAAAAGAAAACTATATGCACACCTCCACCCCAAATTGTCTTTTATACTACCCCACCCCACCTCACCTCAAACCCCAACCCCCCTCTCTCACTTAGATTTTCTTCTACACCCACCACTACTCCGCCCTTCCCTCACCTAAAATTTGATAATATGAGGCTCTCACGCGCGTTCAGTGAGTGTATCACATTTGCTATGCTAGCGAGACATGACATGAGGTGTCTAAAATGAACGAAATTTAGTTAAGGTGTCTAAGTGAAAATTAATATCAACTTTAGATAACCACCGATAAATTTGATCTAAATTAAACTACGATTATGATATTTAATTTGAATTAATTGTTTTCTATTATATAT